ACTTAGGGCTCGCGCGAGTCGCATCCCCTTTTACGTCGCAAAGCTTATCGACAGGCCTCTGTCGCAGCAGGGCCATCGTGGCTCCTCGCTGGTACCACCGAAGCCTCACCAGTGTCGGCAGTAAATACTTGCTCCTTCTACCCACCGCTCGACGTGTGCACTGTCGGCGCCTGCGCTGCTCATTGGGAAACCACGGGCAAATCGATGCGCCTCAAGGCTGCCTCAGCTGAATCATCGCCTAGGCGCCGTGCTATTGGTAGGCCTGCAACGAGACAAATTTATCCCGATGGAGCGTACTATCGATGTACGGCCAGCACACACACCCGCCAACGCAGCAAACGGCCAAACGGCGCCTCGCGGAACCGCTGCCGCTCTTCTGCGTGCCACGTATTAGTGTGTACCTTGAGCAGTTCTCGGCATCAGAAGTGTCGGTCTGCGACTCACAATCAGCGTAAATGACATGTTTGACCGTTCCTCCCCTCCTTCGCTGGTGGGTCCGGTAGGCGCGCATCGGTTGGGCTCGAACTCGTACACTGTCTTGGACTCATCATCTCTCCCAACGGCCGCATGCATCGAACTCGGCCCGTACGATGTATGCAGCATGCAAACTGCCGCAGTGCCAAATACCCTCATCTCGGGTTCCAGTCACTCTGGGGCTGCGACAGCCGGCCGTCACACTGTCACTGGTCTACGTCAGAAACCACCCTCGTTACCATCTCCTCTCGTGACTCTCCACAGACATAGCATGAGAGTGGAAACACAGCCATGCAGTTACAACCCGACTTATTGCATGGAGTCTGTGTCTGTCGGCCTTCGCGAGCGTTCCTGTTATTTAAGTGATGCGAAACGATCTGCAGAGCCCTCGTCTTCGTCTTCCGATCCTTGAGCCGATTGTCCGGGGACCAGCAACGGAATCCCTTCTCGCCGTCATCACGCAACCACCGGACAGTGCCACGAGGACGGTCCCTTAGAATGGATGCGGCGCACGACGGTAGGTGCTGAGCACCTGCAGCGAGTACATTATCCGTCTGCCACGGCCGTGCTACTTGTCACGATGCAGGGAGTGCATATTGGACGTCAATGTCCTGCTGTTGCATCGCGATTCTTTGCGGTGTCCGATCGTGACATTCATCGAAACAAAGGTCGTTTTCCACTGAGCGCGTTTTGAAACGGAGATCCATGGTTCATCTGAGCGCAAACCCATCCGAAACTTAGGGACAAGCACAGCATGGCATGGGCTCGCGACAGACCCAGCTGCATCGTTCGAGAGCAAAGTATTTATTTGGAAGCATCTGTGCGTCGCCATCCATCCATCCAGACAGTGCGATACAAGCAGCAACAAGGTCGGGATCGAAACGTTTTCTGCGCCGTCGATTCTTTCTTTTCAGCCACGGCACCCTATGTTTTGATGCTAGAACGCGACCAATACTAGCGCCCGCCTACGCGGTTTGTTTGTCCTTGCACTCTCTTCCCACTGGGCGATTCCCTTCAGAAGAGCCAGGAGCGCATGCTCTCCAGCGCTAAGACAACGAACGCAGTGCCATCCGGACAAAAGACCCACTTGTTGCACTCGTCGTTTTGTCACCTAGCGGAGTTAGGAGTGTCGTCCACATATAGTATTGGCGCCGTTCCAAGACATGACGTCGGGCGACGGTTTAACACCGGTGATTCCAGTAAAACATGACAAGACACATCTTCAGATGGAGCTTCGCTAAGAATCCCTGACCAACCCGTGCCACCTCAGAAATTCTTCCAAATTTCATTGCGCCGTTCCGGGACCGTCGGTCGGACCCGTAGCAAAAAGGGTTGTCAGCCGCCTCATCGTCACCCCACAATAACCATCTTGAATGTCTTTAGACACAAATGGTCTATTAGTCTAGTTGGTTAGGACGTCGGATTCTGATCTTGGAATTTCCGTAGGCCCAGGTTCGAATCCTGGATGGACCTTTCGTTTTTGCTCCTGTCTACCTCAGGACCCGCGCGCACTTTCCTTTATAGAATTGTCTTTCTCTTTTCATATGCGTAATCAGGTGTCTGTCTAATCTCGACACATACCGAGGAAAACCCTCGTTTGCTAACCAGCTGCATCGCTAAAATCTCCCTACAAATGAGATACCAACATCGATAACATAAGCACAGACAAGTCAAAGTGTACAATTGTTCCTACAATATCGTCTTGGCCGAACTGGGGATATTATGCCTCAAAAGAGTCTTCCAATTGCGTAAAACTTTTATCCTTTCTCCCAGGCAAAAACCGTTGTCGCCTTTATGCCAATCCATTCGTGGATCACAACGGAACATACGCAATCACTGAACATACATAACATGGCTATTTAGACGGCCTCGCACAACTTCCAGCTCGATGCATGTCAACAATGAAATAACACTCAGACTACCTATGAAAGTGTCTACCGTGATCGAGACAACATGTTGAGGTGAGGTCCCAACATTAATTACACCAGACGAGGGCGGAAAAAAGTGCTCTCGGCACTATGGCTCGCGCAACATACCCGGGTGTATCGAGGCCACGATGATGTTTACGACCCCCCGAGGAGCTGCACGCCCCGCGGAATTGGAAAGTCTCTCTCCCAACATCTGCCCCCCCCCGAAATTCCGGGGAGCAGTTTGCCCTGGGCACTGCGACTCTCTATGGTGGTTCTTTTCGTGAGTAGTCAACACATCTTCTACCGACAGGATGCCCGTTATCACGACAGGTACCTCTCCGCCACCCTATCGAAGTCGTCGGCGTTGATGATGGCGCGGAGGGGCGGGTCTGTCGGCATGGACCTCTCTGGTTCTGTTAACGAGCATGTCGTCGGAAGAGTAGAGGGGTCCACGGGCCCGAGGCAGCAGTCAGGCGAGAGGGTTTCTGCGACGAATTTGGGTTGTGGATGTAGTTCTACTCCCCCGTTGCGTCCCGGCCGGCCCGCCAGAGGAGGAGCTTTGCGCCGCCGGGGTGCTCATCCAAGAAGTCTGCCGAGAGTCAGTTCTGGACTACTCAGACCGAGAAACAGAACTGGAAGCACCTGCCACGTTCCATACCTGACCGTGAACTACTATCCAACACGAGTCTTTGCTGTTGGTTCTCGCAACCGCTGTGCCACTCACGACCATGATGCCGAGACCAGAGTTTTGAGATTTTGGACGTCGAGATAGCGGGAAGGTGGGATAGCCTGTGATTCATTCGTGACACCGAGTTATCAACGGTTTCGAGCCCTTGGCTCACGTTGAAGCCGATTTGGGAGTCGGCATCTTGATCGGGGAGTTTTGACCCCACGAATGACCCACGGGCGTGAATGAATGACTCCACCGCTCCACTGCAGTGAATCTGGGGATGTCGGTGGGGGTCAGTCGTACCATGTCATGACAGGGCCATGCAATACATCCTCGGATGATGTTTTCGAGCCAGCGGGCTTCAATTCGAGCACACACACTCTCTTTCACCTACCCCAGTTGATACGGTGTGACGACAAAACTTGTTTGCATCAAGCCATGCCCCCTCACCCACCCCAGGATCTCACACCTTTCTCCTCACGAACCCGCGATACGGACTCTACGAAAAAGTGTCGCAGCTTCGACCAGTTGAGATCCAATTCGTCGGGTACACAATGGGTTGAGGGATGAGAGGTCGTTCATTTGTTGAGCGCATGCGGTGAAGTGCCCAAAGACGCCGTTGAGAGGCTTGGGATACGTCCGAGCCCCTGTTCATGACTGACTCGGACATGAGGAGAGTTTGGGGGAAATAATGGAGAGAATCAATCATACGGGTTTCAAGCCCGAAATGCGGCATCGCGTTGGTGGTGCTTATGATGTCCTACGATACGAAATGCAACAAAGTTTTCCACTCGTCCAAGTGTGAGAAAGAGTGGCTTTAGCGCAAGCAGTTCTCGTGCAGCATTTGCTGACGAGCGCAAATGATGAACCACTGTGTGTTTTGGTGTGTTTCCGTACCCCACGATCTTGCCTAAGCCCTCCCGTTATCTGAGGAGATAGAAGTGGTAAAGCTCGGAGCAAGGTAGCCTCACAAACCGGATGTCTTCGCCTCAGCCAGCGCAATCTCCGGCACCGCGGTGGAGATATGCCCGAAACCTTATGGAACCATACTTTAGAGCAGAAGGTGACGCACGCGAACGGAGGGAAGGAGGATAAAGTACCCTCAAGCTATTGATAAGTCAACATGCTACAAAGTACTACCGGGACTTGGTTATCGCAGGCTCTCTCAACCACATAGCGACTCAGTCGAATAATTTGGATTGTCTTTCTATAAGTGGGAGGCAGTCAAAAAAGTCTAGTCCGTCGGACCTTCTCTCAGAAAGAGTTGCACAGCGCTTACGAGCTCCCGAGAGTTCTTGCAGAGACAAGTGATGTGCCGCCATGCTCTCGAACCAGATGAATGGTGAACATACTCGATCTAAGTGCACGAAATGCTACGATTTCGGGGGTTTGTTGGGGGTGAGGATCCAGCGGACCCTTATCAGAAGATACAGGGGGCAGAAGCATCCTTTGATTCCACATTAAAAAGATAGCAGAGCCTCAGAAACCTTGGACTAACCTTGACGATGCATCACGTAGGGCTGCGAGAAATGCCATCTACCAGACGATCGCTCCTCAGATTGCAATCTGCTTTGCTCCGTCTGTAGCGTCCCATCGAAGGAGGCAACCAACCAGCCCTAACTGTGAAAGGACCACTCGACATGAGTCTGTTTCCAGTTGAGCTCGGAAATCCAAGCCACCGTGGCACACATACATACACCCCTGCTCTATTGCATCGGACATTAAACACTCGGCCGCGTCATGGTCTAGAATCCACCCACATTTGCCATTTCGCTTGGAACAGGCCAACATCTATCTCTCCTCCCGTGTCCGTACCGGCCAGGGAACTTCTTTCGCTCCGTGTCCGTAGCGGTGCTGTCTTGTCCTAAACCGTTTGACAGACCGCATGGTGACAATTCGGACCGCCTAAGCCCTTAAATACTTAACCCGTAAAGAGAAGAGGCGTCATGGAATCTCGCCAACGCAGCCCTACCCCGCTTTTGAAGACGTGCCGCACATGCGCCCATGCCAAGATCAAGTGCGATCGCACTCAGGACCAGAACATCTGCGACAGATGCCTCCGTCTGGGCAAGGAGTGCACCTACGCCAGTGCCCGCGGCCGTAAGCCACCGGGCCCGCGTTCGAGGTAAACGTCTCCGCTCGTCGACGCCGCGCGTGGTCCACGCCGAGACTGATGCTCAGAAAAGGTCCAATAAGCAGCTTCAGATTCCGGAGCGCCCGGCTCCGAGCGCGACCGAAAGCCCCTCGGCCTCCGAGAGTATCACGTCTGAACAGGGCCAGACGCCGCCCGAGGCTGCGTCCTCGTCTGTCACCACAGGCGAACAGCAACCGCCGCGGCCAAGCCTACCCGGCTACGCCGCCGGCTCTCATGATCCGTTCAAAGCTGGCCAACTGTCTCTCGACAAGGGCCAAGACCTCCTTGACAGATTTCGCGCTAGGCTGACGCCCCATTTCCCGTTCGTCATCGTCGCCGACTCGGAACATGTCAGCAGTTTGAGACAGACCAGACCAGCGCTGTGCCTTGCACTTCTTGCCGCATCGTCACATGACGATGTCCGGCTCCAACGAGCGCTTGGCCATATGTTTAACGAGCTCGTGGCAGCACGCCTGGTGTCGGGAAATTTCACCTGCTTAGACGTTCTCCAGGGGCTGCTCGTCCACCTTGCCTGGTGATAATGAGACTCCGCTCCTCTTTCGTCCTTGCCATCGACACTAACATCAGCTTCAGGGCCCACTTTCAGCCTAGACCCAAGAGATATTCACAACATCTCCATTTGGCAATCAGTATTGTCTCCGACCTGCGCCTAGACAGGCCAAAGAATCCCCGGCGTTGGAACGTCGAGGGTATGAGTGCACCAAAGGACACCGTCGAATCGTTAGATGAACGGAGGACCTTCTTGGGGACATACTACCTTTCATCCTGGTGAGAAATTTCTCCTGCTCGTCACAGTTACATGCTTTACGTAGCTGACCGATACAAAATTCAAGTACAAGCATAGTACTCCAAAAACTCCGCATAGTCACTCTGTCTAGTTTCATCACCGAAACAGCGGAACGACTGGCTCAAATAGCAGAGCATCCTACTGATCGGTACCTGCCCTACATCATCCGCTTGCAACGACTCGCCGAGGAAATCGACGATGTCGTCAAGAACGAGTCAGTTTTGGACCCTATGCAAATACAAGCATCCGTATCGGAGGCCAAGGAAAGTGTTTCCGCTTTCAAAAACAGCCTATCATTTCCTCTCAGCGATTGCCGTAAGTGGAAGCAGACGACAGCTCCAACTTATGCTGACTAGTTCCGACAGCGCTGTTGGTTCCTCAGATGTACACAATTCAGCTCTGCCTGAACCAGTTGTCTTTACCAGAAGCCCCTTTCGGGTTGAGCAACCCGCAGCATGATTCCTTACAACGCCTCATAACCCCTCTATCAGAAAGTACAGTATCCGCAAAATCTCTCGTCAGCGTTCTCCTTCACACACCTCCTGGACAGGAGGTCTGCTTTCCCAACATTATTTGGGTGATGCTTCACTGCGGCCTCACCCTCGCTGCGTGGCTCGACCTCCTGGCTGCAAGGATGGGTTACATGGCCGAGCACCTGCGCCAATTCTCCGATATTGGCCACACCATTCGCCAGGTCGTTCTCAGACTCGAGTCTGCAAGTTCGCCAAACGTCGACGACCGGGGCGATCGCGATACCTTCTACCACTTTTCCATCCGCGCAAAGCGTGTCGAGAAGTTCTACCTACAGCAGCAGAATCAGCTTGCCGACCAGCAGCCGACTTTCTTGCCTCAAAGCCCACATGTGACTATGCCACCAGCCACGGCAGGCTTTACAATGATGGGCACGCCCAGCTCGGAGTTTTCGATAAACAGCCAAAATCTGGATTATTCGCTTCCGCCACCAATGTTCGCACAGCCCGCGACGCCAACCGACGGCAACGCGTATCCGAATTTCATCCCACCGAACCCCCCCGCCATGAGCTCGACTGCAAATTTCAACATGGAAGCTCTCCCATTCATGCATGATTCTTTCATTCCGTTTAGATATTTGGGTCCCTTGGCGGAGAATGTGGACGGTGCCGGATTGCAGTTCTAGCGTAATCCTTCGGATAGGAAATGGCCTAATGGGAGGGATGCAGTACATGTCACGACGCAGTGGTGGGACCGGACACGGAGTCGGCAGCTGATCTCTCGACAATCAGTACCTGGTGGCTAACCTATGAAACCTCCGGGGCAATAATGGTGCGAACCTAGAAATATTGAATTCAGCGGATGAGTATAAGGTGGCCAACGGGCCGAGAGGTTTTTTTAAACCCCTTCTCCGTCAGGGGGCTCTAAATATTGTCGCCTAGTATTGCTTGCAACGCCGGTGGCCTATGCGACTAGAGGTAGACTTAGGTCTCCGTGTCCGTAGTTGGATATCCTAGCACTTTAAGAATGAGAAGTGGCGACGAAGGGTGGTGATGGGGGTTCCACATCGAGAACTTCTCGCCGTGCGGTGACTGGATTCCAGAATTCGGCAGGCTGAGGTATTTAATTACACCCTCGAGATTGTGTATGGATTCATGGTAAACCGTAGATCCGATGACCCCGCCAACAGTATACCTGTCTCAAACGAACCAGGCTTATGTGACGGACTTTGGACGAGCCTTAGATGGTTTCCAGTGTGCGCTGTTGCGCACTTCCCAAATTATGTGGCCACAGTCCGCGGTGCTGATGGGTTTCACTGGGGTTTCGAGGTCTTCCTGTTGTGAAATCCCGGTTTGATACATTCTAGTTCGCGGGAAATTACTAGAGATCGATTGAACCTTTCGGCTGCGAGCAGAAAGGCTTATTTGGCCCTTTATGAGTGACTTCAGACGTCGGGGAAAGCATCAAATGTAATTCAATGTATAGGCAGATAATTGTATGGCTCAATGCACTGTATGACTTTTGAATCTTGAGCATGGCGACCTTTCATTGACATCTACCAAGGCAAGACAATTCCGGAAGCCACATGTATGATGGTGTTCTGCAGACTTCGAGAATCTCTAACTCCTATGAACTCATCTTCTCATCAATTCGTTTCCGCCAACTTCTACCCCATATTGCCACAGCCCAAACGCTCAATGCCCCGATGATCAAGAAAGTTGCTGAAATAGTACTGAACCAGCCGACGCCAATCTTCTGGATGGCTGGAAGCACTACGGCTGACCCAGCGGCACCGAAAAGATACCTTATCATGAAGTTGCCCGCTATCACCTCCGCGCTACGTCCTTGTATCACATCCAGGCAGTAGGTGTTGAGGCTAGGGAAACAGAATAACTGCGACACTCCTCCAAGGAACATGAAAACAACAGGTACGGCAACGCCACCGGCACGTTCTTGAACAGCCCAACCGTAGATGAGCATGCAGCCAGGAAGAGCTGCTCCGAGGAAAGGCAGGCACGAGCGAAGTCTGTCTTCGGAAACACGTCGCCCATGCCGCTCTGCTATCCAGCGTCGCACCGTGTAATCAGCGTACCGCCCACCGACGAGCGTGCCAGCGAGGTACCCACACCCCGGGGCAAGGTAGAAGAGACCGGACTGTGCTGGGGAGGTGAGAGAGAACCGTGGGTTGAGAACGTATCGTATCGGAGTAAGCATGCCATACATGTTCCATACGAGCGAGCCACTGCCAATCCCTACCAGGATAAGATTCGGAAATCGAAAGAGCCGGATGACTCTGAAAGGATTTGTCATTCCCCACAGTACGCTGACCTTTCTGCCCATCGGCAACTCCCTGAGATCGGCACTCTTGAGTTCCTGCAAAGTCTCGGGCATAAAGAACAGGGCGCCCCCCAGGCCGACGCCGGCAAGGGCAGTCTGGAGCCAAAATATGGCGCGCCACGAAGTGTAAGTCACGATGATGCCACCAAGAACTGGGCCGATGGTCGGCCCGATCAAAGTGCCAGACAAGAACCATCCCATGGCGGTGGCGCGCTCAGTCGGATGGTACAAGTCACCGATAACGGCTGGGCCGGTGACGAGAAATGAGGTTCCGGCAAATGCGGTGAGCATTCGGAATACGAAGAAAGCGGCGACGTTTGGGCTCAGAGCGGTGCCGATAGAGCATCCCAGAAACAACGAGGCTGTCACTGTACATATCTGCAGTTTTCGATTAGTTCTTTAGCACACGGCTTGCGAGTGCCAAATGATAGGGGTTTAAGCTCCGATGCTCGACATAGGAATGGGCATTCAAGACATGACTCACTCGCTTCCTTCCATACACTTGGCTCAGAGGCCCCGAAAAGCATGGGCTAATAGCCATAAAAACAAGATACATTGCATTGCTGAGACTGATTATGTCTCCAGTCGTCTTGTACTCAGCGGCTACTTCAGGTAGCGCTGATAGCACTGCCGTGCTGGAAATAGGCGACAATAGGCCACACCATGAGATCACAGCAACAATTACGTGCTTGCGGTGTTTGGAAAAGCGGTCGTAGATTTCGTAAGGAACCTCTACATTGGACTGATGCCGGGAGACAGGGTCGTCTTGAAAGCTCAAGACTCCCGAGGGCAGTCTCGTTAGGTTTGGTTGCTCGGTACTGTCTACGATACGGTGAGTTACATGTCTCTGCTGAAGAGAGCCAGTTGCAAACTGACCTCTGTGGTGGCTTTTTGATCTTGCAGGAATGATATCCGCATACTCTTCGATGTCGTCATCGCGCCGATCCGACGAGGTCCTTTCGGGAGAGTCCCCTGGCTCTTGCATACCTTTGCCGGTGTTCATGAGTTTGTCTGGTCTCGTAGTTTCTTTGTCACTGTGAGAACGATTGTGAAGGAGGGTGGTTGAGGCACGGAAGCAATGAGCCTGTTTTTCTGTGGACGACGGATGTGGGCCACACTGATATGACGCCGTTATCCGTTGCCATCAGGGGCCGAGTCGGCAAAGAGCCACCGCTTAGTGCCGGACATCGGAAACTTGGGCCTGTCGGAAAGCTATCTCGTTTTTGGGACCCTCCGGCCCCGCATTTTGAGTCAGATTTCACGGCAAGACAGTATTGGGCCGGCATTCAGAGATTCGCATTATACTGTTTTAACAAGCAACCTCAAGCCTGTTGCAAACGCTGTGCGCGCTGTCATGTTTATTGAATAGACGATTGTTTGATGTCGTCGGAAATGCATGCAACGTGAACTTGTACTATGAAGACCAATATAATGTGTTCGAGACAGCTCCAGCAAGGCTCTATCCATATTGGTTACGGAAACGGTCCGACTTCGGAGTCATCGCTTTTGAACCCAATCCGGCAAGGATTTCTTATCTCGGCTATGTGAGATAGAAACTCGTACTGTTAGCGTACGATGCTGCCAATGAGAATAGTGATTAAGTAGGGAACTGTTGCAAGAAGATTAGACCAAATGATACAGGCTTAACAATTGTCAAGACCTGCCTCGAGAGGAGCAATTCTCTAACGCATTTAAGTGTCCTCATCAATTTGGCGAGGACCGTTCTAGACAATACGTTGAAGTCCCCATGGAGCTTGGCTGCGACCAATTTGATGGCTATTCACCCTTGCATGCAGTGATATTTCCACACCTCCTATTCATCTCTCCCTGAGGTTAGATATTCCAACGGAGGACATACCGAGAATAGTCGCCAGGAAATGGCCTAGATAACCAAAGCCCAGAAACTTTGAGTGAATAATATATTTAGCACCTGTGCCCATTCAATGTTTGTGAACTAATCCACTCCGCGAGGCTTGCTCCGATTGTCACCCCGAAATGGGTCATGATTTCGGGGGTTGGAAGCGAAACCCCGCCGAGAACCGGCTTTGCCGGCCAGTCCGGTCGGGCTTTGAAGCAGAATCGGTGGTCGTCAATATCGGAGCCGTAAAGTTTGTCCACCAGCGGGTTGTCCATACCTTGGCAGGTACTAGATTCGGGTTGACAGCACCAGTGCGTTTTAAACTTTTCGGGTGTAAAATTGATGGAAGCACGGTGGCACGCCCACATCTTCCGGTGTTGCATGATCAAATAGTTTATGTCCGTTCTCCACGGATCCATGTCCATCCAGCCCCCGAGCCAATACACCTTCATGCACGGAACCAAGCCATAAACTCAGTTGAAAGAAAGAAAGAAAGAAAGAAAGAAAAAGCCCTTGGCCTTTAATTAGGCTCCTTGCGCCACATTTGTGGCAAATTTCCGTACCCAAGGCAAATTAACATGGCTGTTACCGCTTAGTTCCCATTGCTAGCCGCAGACCAGTAGCCTTATGAGGCTATTTAATAAAAGAAGGAATGCGGTATGGCTTCGTCACGAAATGGACACACTTAGGCAAGAACACCTTAGGCGAAAATTTCGTCTATAACACTAACGACTAGAGCTGTGGCATCACCTGATACCGATATATCAATATTGTGATGGGATGCCTCTGTTCTGCTGATGTCCACGCTACATGTCCTCACCTGTGTGCATTCCACCCGGTCTTCCATTGGTAACCTCATAATGAACATTCTGGCCTTCGAACCGAGGCTTGTCTGCAATATTATGAGGCAAAGTGACTATCTCAGGATAGACCATCACTTTCAATGAAGGGATAGTCTCACGAGGGGCTTGAGCGCCATGATTCTGCAAGTTTTCGTTTCAGTCGTTAACTCAAAAACTCTGTGCCTTCAAGGAGTATCTTACATTTACAACTCGCCAGTGAAGATTCCGAGCGAGGAACGGTAGAACATAGTCTGGACGCAAGTCGCCGACACGACAGCCATAGTGTTCCTCCTGGCTATCCCAGTAGGTCAAAAGCGCAGGAGTCAGTGCTACAGTGTCCATGTACTTAATCCCACCTGCTTCGTGCTTTGCGCAGTTTGCACAAGCCCCGATGGTGATGGCGGCTCTTGAGTTGGCGAATATTCCACTGAATCCGGCAAGATGAGAATCTACGATCCAGCTTTCAACATCAGGACTAAAATCCCCTAAAAAGAAGAATACAGTGAAAGAGCCATCCAGCGAGAATCTATCCATGGAGCCAGAAGAAGAGTTGGTAAGAACAAATAAGATGTATATTTTAAACCAAAAGATACACAGGATCACTTGAGAACAGGATCAGGACGTGAGATACGGACGGTATCAATGAAGGGGACCACGTGCCCACTGAAGAAACATCGACTGATCTAGTCTTTAGAGAACAGGAAGTACTTACTTATCAACGCTGCAAGTAGCGTTCCAATGAGTCATCTTGTGATGCGAAACAAGATCTCCTAAATGCCCGTAACAGCGATTGAAATCCACGTTCGCGGAAGGGAGTGCTGTTGAAACCACCAGCTGAGACAGCTGTTGCGGGGTAGCTATGGAGTTCGAGGACCTATTAACGGTTATACCAGAACCGGGCGCTACATCTATAGGTTCTCTATGCCTTCTTCCAGGCGACAAGACCTTGATAACTGTCTTAGTTCGAGTCAACAATCGCCGAGACACAGAGACGGGCTTGTTGTTTGCGGAGATTCTAGCGGTCATCGACATAGCCATGGATCCGATAAAAGCCTGACCATTACTGAATGGATTCGTCCCATCTATCAGCACTTTAGGCGGGAGAAATGGCATCGGCTGGTTGATCTGACGTTTGAGCTGTGCTCGGGCGCCCTCATCAGCCGGTCTTGGGCTTCTGGGCGCCAGCCACCCAAGGTGGGTGTTGGCTCAAGCCGTCAAAGGCTGAACTGCGTCTCCCGACTTTCGGGCGGCGGCCGTTTGTGGGTAGTCGTAGCCAAGGTCCAAGTGATTGCGGCATTCATTTGAGGCCCACCATATAGGTTTGGAATCAGCGGTTAGGCCTTTGCGGAAGGGGACAAGTGGAGTTCGAGGTGTTTCAGCCAGACGTCCAGGTTCGACGAAATTGCCTTCGGGAACCTCAAGAGACGTCCACCAAGCAACAGACTCCGGATCGAGAGAGTGAATACCTTGCCACATGGCTAGGAGGCGGTCAACGTTGCTGGCATCAGTAAGTATGAGAGGCAATCAAAGCGCGGCACAGTGTATCTCAAAACGCTTACCAGCGAGAAAGCGGGATCTTGGAAGACCTAAATCAAAACGGATATGTATTCCCTGGCCAGTCAGTTGATAAATTATTATCATGAGGTACGTTCAGTTGACTAATAGATACACTACTACTTAGCTAGCGCCTGAACATCGCAGCGAACTCTTTCAAGATTATGTCAGATTTTCCGTCACCGGCCCAACTAAGGAATTTTTCCCTTTGAGTTGGTAAAGCATTAGTTTGTGACTCGTAAACAAGCCTAAATGTGGACCTTGGTTCTAGTGGGTGAAACTTTGCTCGCCGACGAGAGGCGTACAAACACCAAAGAGAAAGTCGTTGGTGTGCTAATCTGGTCAAGAAATTCCTCAGACATCGCAGTTGTTCGATTTCTCCGGGTAAAAACCTGGTACCTGCATTAACCTTAGACAGAATACTGCTGCAACGCTCAAGAAGCAAGTATAAGGCAAGAAGAATCGGAATAGGTGAAAATCACATTTACGGAGAGTTTAAGCAATGGTTTGGTGTATTTTACTAATCAAATACAGCATGTTGCATTAATTTCGCATACGTTACAAAAATGTTTGTCTTCTGGAGGTGTGCTTGCTGCACCAAGGCTTTTCTTGGTAGGTAGAGCACACGAACTTTTGACCACAAGATATCCCCAATCATTTTCTATGTAGGGTTTGCCACTGGTATCAAAGCTAGTTTGCAATGATCTGTTTTACGTCAAATAACGTTGCATTTGCAGAGTGTCATTTATTTTCTGCTTGTAAGCTTGGTGACAGCCTGCTACATTAACTCATGAAAATTGATCAGGAAATACTTAGTACACGAGGCCATGATCATCGGCATAATCGCTAAGGTAATCTGGGCTTCATTTGGGCTCTATAGAGGTCCTACATACAATACGCCTTTCATATTGGATACCATACTATAGCGGGTAAGCACAGGTGCATAAGAGAGTTCGAGGCTTGTGACGGTAAACCTTTGTTTATCACCGGCACAAATTGGAAGAACATACGGGCTGATAATGGAATGATTCATGAAGATATATATCTGTAGAGAGTTACCAAAGCAATGCATTAATCTTATTCTGTTGCACTTTTTACGTCTCCCATCCAATTCTAGCGACATCCTCATTCAGGCGCTCCTCATTATCACTCAACTTTAGAAACTCTTGGTTCTCCCAAACGGCCCACAATAAAGAATTCTGTTCCTAACGTAAGCTTAAAGCTAGCAGTAGTCTTTCTCCTTGTTAGTTACACCAAGGGATAGGTTAATACAGTTAACTGTATATATTAGTAGTAATTAATAAATAATAAAGGTAACTATAGTTCTCTATTATATATAAAGAAAAAAAGAATAATTATTATAGGTTAGTTAGTTAAATAACTAACTTATTACTTATAAATCCTTAGAGAATCTATAGCTAAATATCTAAGGATTTACTAGTAATAAGTTATTAGGGTTAACCTAATAACTTTAATATTTATCTATAATAGTTAATATTATAACACTAGTAACTTTCTATAGTACTAAAAATCCCTTATTATTTATATCTAAAAGAATAACTAAAAAACATAATAAAAACAAAAAGCTAAAAAGTATTTAATACTTTTTACTTATATAGCCTATTATATATAAGAAACCTATTTATTTATTTATATCTTTAACTACCTATTACTAACTAGCTTCTCTAATATATTATTTAGTAATAACTTTATAAATCTATTTACTAAGTTATTACTACTATAAATCTATTATATCTTAAAAATCTTATAGTATTTATATAACTAGTAAAAGGCTATAATATTTATTATAAGTTACTTTTCTTTTATAGTACTAAGCTTTATAAGGCATATATAAAGTAAGTATAAGTTAATATAAAGTATTATAGGTATTTATAGTAGTTTAAGGTAGTTAGTAATTATTATAAAGGTAGTACTAATTATATAGGTAATATTAGCACTAGTAACTATCCTATAGACCTTAAAAGTAAGTATACTATATATAACTCTTTTATACTTTATTAAGCTAAAGTAGATAATATTACTAGTTAATTTAAAGCTTTTACTATTAGTAGTAAGTTACTTAATAATTTATTTATTAGTAAAGACTATAATAAAGCTAAGTTAGAAAGTAAAGTTATAGTTATTTATAAATAAGCTATTAATAAATATAAAAAGCTTAGTAGTTATAAGGTTAATTAGTAAGAATTATAGGCTATAGTTAAGGTTATTAGTTTACTATTTAATTTAGTAGTTTAAAGCTTTAATCTTCTCTATTATAAGTAATTAGTGTTAAGTAGTAACTAAATAGTTAAAGTAGGCTTTAGGTTAGTAAATAGAAGTAATATATATACTATAAGTGTATTACTAAATATAATCTTACTAGGTAGTAAGTAATTTTTATTAATAAGTTAAAGCTTTTTACTTTAGCCTTTTTAATAAAAAGTAAGCTTACTATTAGTAGTAATAAATAATATACTACTATTAAAGGTAATAAAGTTATTAGCTATAAGTAACTACTTAGGTTTTACTATAAAAGTAGCCTTTTTAAGCTTCTTTTTTTTATAAGTAAAGAATTTACTGTTTATAAGGCTAATTATATTATTTATTTATATACTAATTAATCTAAAGTTATTATTATTAAGTAATAATATTAATAAGTAAAGGTTAAAGGTTAATAAATTTATCTAGAGATTCTCTCTATAATAGTAGTTATAAGTTACTTACTAGTAGGTTTTTACCTTTATAATACTATATAATAGCTTAGTTACTATTATTATTATATTTACTAAGTAAAAATAGTAAATTTATATAGGTAAGTAAGTAAAAATAATATAATTTAGTAG